ACTTGAAGCTACCTTCTGTATGAAGCATGCTTTTTAAATAAAACGGATCTGCCTTGACTAAAACCCTCATGTTATTCAAATTAAATTGTGTTTTGTCCGATGATTTGGGCAGATTTCCCCCCATGAGTATCTCTTTTAACATTGATTACGCCCACAAAGATTACAGTGCAGCACCAGTAACACTTATTCTCTGCCTTTATTTGCGAGTACCATTTTCACTATGTCATTTTCTCTGAAAGCAGCCCTGAAGAAAGCTCCATGTGCTCAGAACATGCAGGGGATTGAAATGAGTCTTTAGCAAGAAATGGCTTTGAGTCATTTCCAAGTGTATTTTTGTTTTTGTGCCACTTAATGTATTCTCTGTGCCCACGCACAATAAGCAAGAACAATGGCAGTGTTAATGGGAACATTTAACAGGAACTCGCTGCTCCCCAGAGAACAAAGAACATTTTTAATATAGACTATATTGACGGCATTCAATCAATTCTGTTTCTTTAGCTCATGAACATCTGGCCTCGAGGCACCGACAGAGTGAGTTCCCGGAGCAGCGACATTCAAACATATTTGTTCTTGTTCTGTGAATTGAAAGTGGATGTTCCTGCCAGCAACATTTAACATTTAGGCATTTAAAGTGCAGACATTTTTAAATCAGTGTAAGTATTTGATTCTTAGAGATATTGGGCAGCACTGCTTCTAAACTCTCTTTTTTTGCAGCAGGTTTGCTGTTGAAGACAAACCCTATTGTATCGACTACAGTAGAAAAGAAAATTACAGTGGATTAACTCTATATTGTTCCTCGGTGTTCTGCTGAAATGACACATCCCCATTTATTCAAGTCCTTAATTACAGTTTGCAGCATGTTAGTGCTTGAGAATACAGTGATTGCAGCAAGGTATGAGAAAAAGAGGATGAAGCTGGCATGGTGACGGTAAATAGACTAGCTTGTTTGAGAGCATTTTCTTCTAGCTCAAGACATATGTACAATGTGCTCTTCCAGCATCTTATTTGATGTTGATTTGAAGCTCTTTCTCTACCTGCATCTTTCGTTGACTCACTAGATACAAATAGCCACAGTCCTCTCGTCTTTTCAATTTATGTCAGGTGGCCTATTCTTTATTTAATGACTGACTGACTGACTTCATATAAGGAAGTACTTCATTAAGGCATGGTACAGCAAGCAGGTGACACAGCGCAGTGAGGACAGCGTGTGCCTCATGGACATTCAAGATTTGATCATGCTGAAATCAAAACAACCTGCGACTCCGCACATTTTGAGTGCCAGCTCAGCTCCGTGTGTGTGGAGATATTATCTAAGGTACATGCAGAAACACACCACTAAGTTAAGTATTGCAAATGTGCTTTGTTCATGGTGCACATGTACAAAGCTAGTCCCAGTATTCATTAGACCCTGAAGCATTTATAATGTTTGTTTGTTTTTTGCATTGAGGAGGGCATTCAGAGTTGCTTGATTTAATTTACGTATATACTCACCAATTAACACAGGACACAGCTTCTCACCTTCAGATTCAAATGCAAATGGAGGTTATTTAAAAAATGTATTAACATGTTGTATCTAATCAACAAACATATCAAACATACTGCAGTTCAATATCTTGAATGTATTCCTGTTCTGCAAAAAATCTTAGCAGCCTAACAAACGTGTTTAAAGTGTACATCCACCACACATAATGTTATTCGTTTTGGATGAAAAGCAGGTGAAAACGTTACTCCATAGCTGGACATTTTGAATAATAGAAATGTGGTTTGGTGCATTACATCCATCTCTTTTTTTTTAGTGCACACCTAGTTGCAATTCATTAAATGTTTATTGTTCAGCTCCACTTAGTCTGTCTGTCTGTCGGCCCCAAAAGACACCGGTTCAAATTCAGAACTAAGAATTTAAATGCACAAAGTTTACAATTGCATTTTTCTATTCTTATGTTTGATTCCTTGTATTGATGTGCTCCTATTCTCCCGTTCATTATCGCCTGTATTATTGAATTCTGCCTCCAGTCCACAGCCATCAACAGTAAAATTAAAGGGTTGTCACACCTTATAGAATGACCTATAAGCTTGTGAAAGCTATGACCTTAGGGTGTGAAGGTTATAAAGCAGGGCAGCTACAAAAAGCAAGCAATGGAAAAAGGTGCTGTAATTAGCAGCTGTAAGCATTTTCAGATGTTTAGGTTTCCTTTTTTCCTCGAAATGACTGCAGTGCAACAAATCTTTTGTGCTCAGTCAATACAGCAAATAAGAAGTACATTTTGAATGATCTGCTTCTTGCAGCTTCTAATTACTAGAGATTTGGCATTTCAGTGCCAATCGCTGCATGACATTTAGAAGTAGCCCATACCCCTAACAAAGGGAGACCTTAAACACTGCCTCTCAGGGAATTTGTTCACATTTGTTTTATGTGCATGTTTGAGTTATTTTATGACTAACCATGTTTTTGTTAAACAGAAAGGTTTTGCAAAATTGTCTTTAGGAGGTAATCTTTTTTATTGGGAAACTGAATGTAGGGGCCATAGATGATTCAGAACTTTACATGTGTAAAATGCTGGAAATGCATAAAGGATAACATACTCCCCCTCATTAAGCTTGTGAATCAGATGATGAGAACACTTTTCATCAGCCAGCATTCAAGCCCTCCAAGCTGGACAGTGCTGCATCACTGGGATCCCATCAAGGAACACAAAATGATTCTCTATGCCATGATAATTTTCATTATGAACATGCTATTTGACAATGACCAGTGAGAGAGATGACTTGGAGCAATAATGAGATGAAGAGAACGATTATTAAACTGCGTTGTTTAATAGGTCAGTCGATCACCTAAGGTTTCTTAAACAAAAGTTAGGCATCTCCAGCAAAACAACATGTTTCACCCGGTTGGACCAGGTGAGACTTTCATTGAGGGACTAGCACAATGTGAATACATAGAACACAGCTGTGTAGGCACCTAGGCGGCACATGCCTACATGGGCCCAAATTACTCTGACAGCCACCTCAGGAGTGACCAGTCATACTTAAGGCTGTGCCACTCTTTGGAGGGTACAGAGAGGGCACATTAAATCCTTCAAATCAACGTACAACATCACGCTAGGAGTTCAAGTATTTGCAGAATAAGTAGTCCAGACTGTGGAGGTCAATCAACTTTAAAAAGATGACCAAGAGGTTAGAACAGTCTGTAATTCGATTTTTAAAACAGCACATATACTTTCATGAGGGAGTTTAGAGAAGATCTCTCTGTACCAAACTTTAAAACTTGGTGGGATATGTTTAAAGCAATTGTTGAAAATGCACTTTATTCCAAAAAGAAAATATCAAGAGGTTTATAGTGTTTGAGGTAAGATGCAGCTCCTTCAAGGGTAAGCATGGTATAAAATCCTAGGGTATTTATCTATGCCATGTTAAATATCAAACAGAGTAACCTGCGAACAGCGTAGGGTTTTAAATTAATGTTCACTTCCAGGAACAAAAAAAAGTAGACCCTGTTTCTGAATGAGCATTACAATTATTATTATTATGAACAGTTTTTCTATTACAAATACATATTTTGTCCATGATTTATTTTTGTATTGTCAGAGGGTGTGATTTCAGCTCCAGCATCAATGGCTGAGTGGCAGCTGGATGATATATAAGAGGAGAACATCTGCAATCAGTACAGACTCCACAATGGCTCAACAGTCAACATCCCACCAGCGAACAATCAGGTGAAAAGAAAGGTCATCTGCAAAGAGAAAAAACCCATTGATGTTTAGGTCGATAATTATTGTAATTTACTTCAAATATAGCTATTAGTGCTTTAGCGTTAGGGAAATGGGTGTTGGTCGCCCCATCACTTCAAACACCACTATACATATTCGATCGAAACGGACAGAATAAATACACTGCAATTCCCTCCTTATTAAAACCTTTACAAATCATAATTTAGCTGAAAAAAAAAAAAAAATCATGACGCAGTCTGGTGTCATTGACTGGAAAAATGTTGTTGAACAGTGGGCTTCTGTCCTTGTTAGTAATTATGGTAAATGGACTGCACTCCAGTCTGCGCTTTTCTACCTTTACAGACAAAGTGCTTTACAATTGCCTTTCATTTACCCATTCACATACACCTTCCAGGGAGTGTGTGTTCGCCAGGGGACGAAGCGCCAACCACACGATGAGTCAAAGTTCACCTTGTGTTGCCCGGCCTGGCTCTCTCTTGTCCAAACCTAGCGGTAAGGAACTCTGCTTCGCTAGGCCTTCTTAATTTTTATTAAATATAGAGCTGGCTTATATTGATGGATTTCATTCATATCTGTCAGGAGAACTAAATGTAGTTTTAATTATTAAAGTTATGAAATACACAAACGTTTTCTTTAATAAGGCATATATTTTTGTTAATTAAAACAAATGCAAAAAGTTTGAAAGGTTATTTAAAAAAAGAAAAAGTGATCTTTGGACAATAAGAAGCAACTAGCCAGCTGACCTCGGTGACCTTGCTGGTCACAATACGGTTGTAAAAGGTCGAAGAGAAAGGTTGGAATTAGCCACATTTTTTCCGATGCTTTTCTTTAACAGCTTTACTGCTCAGCAACCATGAGAGCAAGGTCTGATATAATTAGCAACATGAGTCTGATCTGATCAGCATCACTGTGTAAACAGGTTTTACAGGGCGCTTAGGTGTGATATAGGTAGCAAATTCTACAGATATTACCAATGAAAGGTGACGAAAACTACAGAAAGGTTTTCTAAATAGTGCTTTATTTTTTTAATGTAGACACCAGAGTAAGTTCTTTCAGTCTTCCTTACTGTTTTTGCTGAAGGCAATTCACTTGAAGTAAATTGTGGTAAGTGATAAAACAATAAGAAAAATAGTTTAAGAGGATATAATAGATTTAGGTTTTTCTGGCATTAATGGATTTGATAGATTTCTGTGCCTAAAGGGGGGTGGGGAAAGCTGACAAGATGATCATGTGCCTGTCTCACTTTGTTTACTTACATGTCGGCCTGCCAGGACAGCTTGGGTTCATTTACCCTTGGATCACTGAGGCTGAACTTCTCCAAAACCTGCGAAATATCTGGGGACTGTGAAGCCAACATGACCAGGTGAGTGTCAGTTAACATTTATTTGTGCTAAATATTCCCTAAACCTGCTGCCATCACACCTAGTTTTGCCCAGTGGGGGCTGTGTATTTGTCCTATTTTCCCTCCTCCATGTCTCACTGAGTGTGGAAATGACAGGGTTATATGGCAGCTTCACCTCCCCCCACTTCCCCCAGCCATACCCTGACAACCAGCTCATAACATGGAACATCTCTGTCCCAGAGGGCCACAGGGTCAAACTCTACTTCAGCCACTTCAGCATGGAGCCCTCACACCAGTGTGAATATGACTACTTCCAGGTATTACACTGCTGAAACTACAACTTCCATTATCTGCACTGGTTAGCCATTGGTGGAATGTAATGAAGTACATTTACTCAAGTACTGCACCTAAGTAGAAGTATTACTGCTTCTATGATGTGGTACTTGCTTGTAAATGAAGTATTTACATGTTATTCTGCTTTATACTTCTATATCACTACCTTTTGGAAGCCAATATTTGACTTTTTATTCGAGTACATTTATCTAAAAGCTTTAGTTACTGTTTACTTGAAATATTCAGATTATTAATTATTAAAATATAAACAAATGGTTAATACATTATAATTTATTCTTTTGTGTTAAGAAATCTAGCACCAGTTTAATGTTATTACAATTTAAAAATGATACAAATAAACGCCATACTGAAATGGGCTATTAATGCATATAAAGACAGTGGTGTAAAGTAACTACAGTAAGTAGATTTACTCAAGTACTGTACTTAAGTCAAATGTTGAGCTACTTTTCAATTATTTGCTACTTCGTACTTCTACTCCACTACAATTCAGAGGTAAATCATACTACTCAATGTATTTAATATCTTTGGTTACTTTGCAGATTTTGTTTAATGTTGTGAAATATAATCAACACTTAAATAAGACCAGTTACACCTGGAGTAAATTCACCAGCCACCCTGCAATATACAAAGTCATTAAAATTATCTGTACCTTTACCAGCTTTGATAACACTTTAATGTATTGATATCTATAATCTAAACATATCATATATATTATTCTGAAATGGGCCAATCTGCATAATGAGTACTTTTCCTTTTGGTACTTTTAGTATATTTTTGATGCTAATACTTTTCTACTTTTACTTGAGTAACATTTTGATCGCAGGACTTTTACTTGTAACAGAGTATTCCTTAACTTCTGTACTTCTACTTTTACTCCAGTACAAGATCTGAGTACTTCTTCCACCACTGCATAAAGACTTACACTTTGCCATACATTGCATATTTTACTTAAGAAAGAAGTCTGAGCTCTTCTTCCTCTGTAGCATGATCTTTAAACAGCCTCTGACCGTGTCAAACCAGGTTTTGGCGGAGGGAAACGAAACCTTGCGGTTCTGCGGAGAGGAAGAGAAGAACTATGAAAGCAGCCCGAGGAACACCGTCATCCTGTCAGCCGGGCGCCTCATGTCGTTGGTCTTTAGGAGTGACTACTCTAACGAGGGCCGATTCACGGGCTTCCAAGCGTTTTACACCGCAGAAGGTGATGCAGAAAAGTGACATGTGTTGCCACAAGGTAGATACATTTGTATTGGCTGTAATTGCACTAAGCAATGTGCAATGTTCTTTCTAAAGATATAAAGCAGGATTATATAATCCCATGTCTATACATCAATTATTGAAAAAGAAAGAGGCTATTAACAACAGAAATGCATTAGTGACGAAGCAATAGCAAACACTGTTAATGAAATACATTAATACTTAATTGACATACAGGTATCGGCTAATTCAATTAAATAACATAGTTTGACATACACTTCCTATTTCTCTTTGCATCCTTACGTATGAACAAAACGTTGTAATAATCTTCCTGAAATTGTTCACAACAATGTTGTTCCTTTTTTCGGATTTAAGTGTTTATTAATATAATCTACAATATCTGTTGTCAGGCAATTAACACTGTTGCACTGTGAACAACCTTCTACAGCACCTTTTATCCGTGTCTTCTAGAGTTACGTCACATCGGACTCCTCTATTGTCAGCCTAAATTGCTGTGGAGACATAAACTCTCCAGAAAAATGCAATTTAAAAAAACAGTCATAGACTATCCTGAGTTTAGTCACATTTTAAGGAGACTTGAAAGCTACATATCTACTGCGAAGTATTAACCTCTTTGTCTCCTACAGATATCAACGAGTGTGAATCGAAGATAGATGGGGAGAAAGTGTGTGATCATTTTTGCCACAATTACATAGGCGGATATTACTGCACTTGCAAACAAGGGTACCTTCTCCATGACAACACAAGATCCTGCACAGGTAAGAGCCATAGCCAAAAGCTCAAGAGGCTTGTTCATCTGAGCTCAATCAAAGGGTCAAACGCTGTAAAGGTAGGTTCAGTGTTAAGGGATTGGCACATAACATTTGACTGTAGATTGATCTCTTTATGGGGTTTCTCAAGCTAAATACACAGCTCAGATCCCCCCTGCCAGACACAGCAGATATTGATGGAAGTAAAGCAATTTCCATTAGTGTGCATTGACTTCTGTTTGATATGTTCGGCTTTAACATACTAGAATTCCACATCGTTTGTTGATTATATAATCAAATAATGACCAAGTCTTTAATTTGGCCCAATTTCTTGCTGTGGTATCGAAGTGTTATAATTACAAAATGATGGTAATTTCAGACTTTCCCCTGAAGTGTAGAGGAAAATTTGATCAGTCTGCAGTATTGTAAAGTGTTATTAAAGATAATTATTTGGATAAAAAACATTTGTCTTCAAATCTTCAAATCTTCAAAAGACTATTTTCTGACATTTAAAGTCTGGCACAAAGTTGATTGTGTTCTAGATTGGATTTCGTTTTATCATAACTGGCCTGTTCTAACTTATTTCAGATTGAAATGGCACACTGATGCATAAAGTAGTTGATCTATGCCAGCTGATGCAAGACAAGGTTAATTATTGTCGATTCCTAAGGGAAAGCAAACTTCAAATGGCATTAAAAATGGATACCTGTGTGCAGCACCAATAGTGTACTGACACTATGTCATTAATCACAATTACCAGTTGATTATTATTCTATGCCACAGGAAAAAGGGTGACAAAACAAATCATGCAATGAATAGGCAAAAATGATTATCTGCCTACAGATTGTACTAATTGTATGAATTATAGGAACTCAGCCTCTTTGCAAAACTAATTTGTTAACAACATCTGCACCCTTGCCGGCGCAATAATGCAAACCTAAATGAATCCCATTATTTATTATGCCAGTAAATGTCCCGATTGACGCGGAAGAGTTATTTTCTTCCTTACAATACATTTTTCATAGCCAGTTCTGTGTTGTTGCACATATGACACCTGTTCATCAGTATTTCCAAGTAACATACAAGGGCTCAAACAGAGAGAACTGCGCACAATATCTGAAACATGCCTGAAAATGTGAGTCTTCCCTGCAGTGCCATGCCTCAGCCAGGTGTTGACCTCGCTGTCGGGGGTTCTGACCAGTCCGGGCTACCCGAACCCTTACCCCCCCATGAGTCAGTGTGATCACACCATAAGTCTACAAGAGGGCCACAGAATAATCCTAGACTTCCTGGATCCCTTTGACGTAGAGGGACACTCGGATGTCCCTTGTCCATACGATATGTTGAAGGTTCGTTCAGTGACTTCAGGACACGCAGGGAGATAAATGAGCAATGTATTCCTCCTCATGCCCGTGAAGGCAGTTTGTTACAGACGTGTCCTCCTCGGGTGATATACTTCATGAGCATGCCGTTTCCTGCATAATTAAGTTTGGGTGGGCATAAATCGTCCAGGGCTTTAATTAATCTTCTTACCTGATGTTCCCCCTTTTTTGTTTACAAGATTTCGACAACTGGACAAGAGTATGGACCCTTTTGTGGATCAACAGCACCCGGTCGGTTTGACACAGGAAGTTACCAAGTGCATGTTGTGTTCAGATCTGACTCTAGTGGGAAGAACAAGGGATGGAAGATCAAGTACACCAGTATTAAGGCTGGATCCTGATGGCTTGTTGACATGAAAACTGTGTGTGAGCATATACGCTATCCAAATATTTTACACAGTGACTTTTACACTGTGGCAATCTTTAAAGATTCAGTGTGTTTGTGATATTGTGTTCAAGCACAAAGAAATGTACCTTTATGATAATCTCCACATTTTGTCTGTATGTAATTTCCAATGATATTGTGAATGTTTTATTTCTTTGTTTGCTGAGATGCTGTTGTAATGTCACCTTCACAAACCTCTTTCAACCACTTTTGAATTGGCATTTCAGTGTTTTGCTGCTTGTGGGAATAAAAGAAGAAAGACATTAAAATGGCTAATGTAAGTGTTTTGACCATACAGCATGTAGCCAGATGTTATCAGACAAGAATTTTGACACGAGTAAACATTCACATATTGTACTAAGCTGTGAACCATTCTGCATTTTTCCTGCTGAAGACAGAAACACATTGTAATGCAGAAATAACAAATAAATTCCATGCAGTATACGTCAGCACGTCGTGTCTAAGGAGCGATGACTGCTAGTCGTTTAACCCTCATACATTATACAGCTTGTTCTCAGCAATCCCAGCTCTGCCCCTCCATCAAAACAGTCATTATGGGGTTCTTCAGACCCATGAAATTGCCTCTCAATTGACACTTTTGCATTCCCCTGCTAATATTTCCTCCATCTGTGGCCCACAAGTGGGGCTAAAGAGCACACCTGAATGTGCGGCTATGAGAAATAACTGCATTTGTGTTGATTTGATGCAGGGTTTTATTCATTTTATTCTGGTCTCTTGGAATAAGCCAATGCCACTTCTCTGTGAACTTGTGACTTTGTAAAAAGCTCATTATGTTAACTTACTGTAGACTGCTCTGTTTCGCTGCAAACATACTTTGGATTTTGAAAGCCAACATAACTTAGCGATGTGCGTACTGACCCATACATCACCTTGACATTTGTAAACCCAACAGAATCAAAGGCCTCAGGTCAACATGTGTTCTCTAAAACTCATCTGATCACATGGGATATGGTTTGTTTCCAGCATGAAATGCCTAGAGAGTCCCCAGGGCAACCGGGTGCTTACAAAGAAAAAACTCCAGTTGTTACTTGAGCACTATAATCCAACCCACCTAGACAGTGCGACACATGCACAATCGACCGCTCTCGTACCCCACTCACTCCTAACTGTTCAGCCTAGTTGGAGCCGAATACACAGGAATTATGCACACCGTGAAACCCATTAACCAATTCTTGGAAAATATCTAGCAGCAGCTTGCAGCCCGTTGGCTTTGAGCTAACATACCCATCACTATGTTGTCCTACTATTTTGTAAGAGACCATATGGGGTGCTGAACTGTGTCGTTTTTTCTACAGTGTTTTCTTAATGTCAATGAAAAAGTCATTTTCACAAAGAGGGGTTCCTAGCTTTTAACAAGTGCTATTATTTGGATTCATCATTTTAACCGCTAAATTCCTGTATTTACTATGTGTGTTTTTGTATTTCTGCTAGTTTTCTTTATGTGTAATCTGACAACATTTGTACTTATTACATGTTACTTGTTTGACGCTTTTATCCAAAGCGACTTACAGTACATACTCAATACTGTGGACAATCCCCACAGGAGCAATTTGGGGTGAAGTGTCTTGCCCAGGGACACAACGACATGCTGACTGCAGTGGGGTTTGAACCTATGACCCCCTGATCCAAACACCAAGGCTCTATCCACTGCACCACACGCCTCCTCCTACTTATGAGTTATGAAACCTTTTATTTTGCTCCCCATCTTGGCTCCATAGCAGAATAGATATTATCTCAATAGGAACTTAATGGTTAAATAAAGGATGAACACATAAACAGATTTTTGTGCATGAGAATTTTCAGTGCATAAATGTAATAATAAATGATGAAAGTACTGTCAAATTTTATTTTAGAAAATCCCTCCAACCACCATTCAACATGTTTATAAAAGGCACCTTAAATCACATAATGTACACTCATGAAACTTCCATTCCAATATTTGCATGTTTAAAATAAATAGAAAGTCGGAATGTGTTGGCCAACTGACACTTATCAATTCTTACAGGGTTGCAAAACAGAGTGACGGCTTAATAAATGACAGATCTTGATGTGAATGCACTACTTTCCTCTTTATTTTATGCTAAAGTACAAGCTGGTGATGACATCTTAATCTCACAACGACACAACAAAGATGATCCTTCCGCCTCATGTGTGTTCATTGTTCAAGAGAGCTCTGATGAAATAACAGGCATGACAAAGGCTATATTCTACAGGGCCTATGAGTCACAAAGACCTGCACACACCATCTTACACCACACAGCCAGTAGTATATAACAGTAGGTCTTAAATGAGCTCTCATCCAGAAATATTGGTTCTATGGGACGAAGCCATTGTACCCATAATGTGTTCAGTGAAGCTTTCATGTATGAAGTAATATCATCTCACATCTTGTCCTACTTTTTCACGATTAAAACTGAGCTTTTATCAAAAATATATTTGGTTTTCTGCCAGAAACGCTTGTCTGCACTGTAATGTACAAGTTACTTTGGTATTGTACCTTCAAGGGTAAAGAGTTCCTGAGCTCACCATATTTTGATCAAATGTAGCATTCATGGTGAGTTTGCTCACATATGAATGACATTTCAAACTAAGGTGCACATACATGAAAAAGGAAGTACCACATTTAGGCATAAGTGCATATTCATAAAACGGTGTATGTTCCCTAAACCCTGAATAGGGATACCTGTTATCTAAGTATTTCCACCACAATTTCGAAATTGTTTTATTCTAAGATTTGACTGGAGGTGCCTTTAAAATGGAGGGCCCGTCTGGCTCCCAGCTCATGTAACTAGGAACACACTGCTACTCTGAATGTCAAAAATATCCTGTATAATTAAGATGTAAATGACAATTCAATGATAGAACATAAAACTATTTCTAACAGACACAAAATAATATATTTATGTACCATAAACTGGAGTTCCACAGGGTTTCTCTAGCAAAAGTAAGTACATTTCTTACACATATTTAGCCTTTTAAAATAAAATGCAGTGTACAAATTGCTGAATTGGTTTTTAAGAGAGAGCAGAATGTAAACAATTATACTGGAAAGCTGATTCCATGGTATAATTCCAAATGTTGGGAGATACACATTCATCAAGAGTTATATGAGAAGTTTGATTTGACTCTCATGCCTATCCACTTAAAAAGTAGCTGGCATAAGCAGAGTTTATCATAAAGACTTAGAACAGGAGGAAAGAGCTAGCCTGGCTCTGAAGTTAACACAATCTGCCTACTAGCACCCCTTAAAGCTCATTACTTAACATGTGATATCTCAATTGTTAAATCAAACAATCAGACAATGGGGCAATATTTGCAGGTCTATTTCTTGCTGTTCACCCACAGTTGTTTTCAGGAGTATTGTCACCGTAATGAGATTGCAAGGCATCGAGCAGGGACTGAACTAATATGTTAAAACTGAGCTTACATGGTGCTAGTAGCTTTAATTGCTTACCTTTGGATGGAGCCAAGGCAAGCTATTTCCCTGTTTCCAGTCCTTATGCTAAGCTAAACTAGCTTTGACTTGTCATGGATATGTTGACCTGTGATTAATTTCACAGCATGACACTAATCACAATAGGGAGTAAATAGAGAGGTGAAGCCAGTGGTTAGCGCTAGCATCTCTTTGATGAACATTGCTTGTGCAAATGACTGTGCTGCTTCTGCTTGAGGAAAGAATAATTCAAGTGGTTTGCAAGTTTTCACAAAGTAAAGCAAATGTCAACATCATTAACATTCATGGATTCCAGCATTATGGATACTATGAGAAATATCCCATTCTTCTGACCCTGAGGCAGGTAGTGTGAACACTTATCAGTCTCTTCTCAGGTGAAGCCTCGGCCTAGTTGCTGCCTTGGGGTGGCGTTTCTGCATCTTCCTCCGCGCTGTGCACACCGCCGTCCAGCTGTGCGTTGCTCCTGATAGACTGCACGGCCTGAACCTGCTGGAGACGTCCGGTCAGCTCTGCCTCGCAGGCCTGCAGCAGCGCAGAAGTCCTCGTTCTGTCCCATCCCAGCACCTGCTCCATCGCTTCTACCCTTCTGGTAACTACCATCTAAAAAACACATTAGGAGGCTTCATTTTTAGATACATATAGAAAGATAATGCAATCCAATCAGACATCCCTGTAATAAATCCTATCCTTTGTGACTCTTATAATGTTCAGTTTTTGTTGACACTGTGAGAGTAGAGCCGAGGGAGTAGTTAGTGGTGTTTGTGCACTGAACTCTATATCAGTGAAAGGTGCTTCTAATATTTAGCTTTCTTTATGTATTCCAATGGGGGTTGACACAATCTTTGCTTAGCATTGTAGTTCAAGTGAATGCCCTTTAGGACTTTAAGACAGAGTCACTTATAAAGTATGAATGTGTTGTGTCAGGACTTGCAGCTTTCCGTAATTTCTTCATCATTTCACAGCAAGAGACTTATTAAGGCATGTCAAAGCACACACTGTAGAAGTGTTGAGTCTCTGAGAGCATTACCTGCAGATCCTCAGTGGAGAGTCTGGTCTCTGGGCTTGTTTTTCCTTTCAGGACCATCAGTGTCCTGGATATGAATCCGGATGCAGAGTCCACCTCCATCCCATCCACCTCCACTTCTACAGCCCCTGACACATTAAAATGGATTCTCTTTCAGGATCATTTGTTGTATAAGGACATTTTTTGAATACATTTCTTTGAGAGGTGGGATTATTTAGCAGCAACAATGGTTCCACCTAGTGGCTATAAGGCAAAGGCATAGCTCTTATCTTATAAGCCATCTAAATACAAAGATGCATCTGACAAAATAAACTCTGCTCTGAAATAAATAACAACAATGAAAAACATTTTTCATTAATTATCTTAACTATTTGATCTTAGGGGCTTGAATACATTGAAAATGATAGCTTTCCCTAGAACCACTATTGCTGTGAAATACTCTCTTCATTAACGAAACTGTGAAATACATAGACAACTCATCACACAGCATGAGAAAGCCACAGTATAAAAGGGTTTAACCAGGAATTATATTATAATACAATAGTCTTTTTTAAATAAATTCCATATTGTAAAAATGAAAACCACCCCCAATGACACAGCCTCACCTTCCTGGCTGGCCTGGCTTGACGCTTCCTGCTGTCCTTCTTCTTTCTCCGCAGCTTTAAGGTAGAGCTGGAGCAACTCTTTGGACTGCCTCTCTTCCTCTCGTCGGTCCAAAACACCCTGCAGTGTCTGCTGAAGGTCCTCGGCCTTCTTTTCCTTGAAGCCCA